CAGTTGAACTTCTTTCTACAAGACGGAAAAGAGACGACAAGAGAGACGGAGAGCAAAATCCAACCTACTGGATGATTAGAATAAATGCAGCACGGCTCAGAAACAGTGACCAGAGGAGCCAGTAGTTGGAGACACATCCAGCTGATGGTGGAACATCCTGCTAGAGATGATGTGTAGAGTCGAGTGGAAAAGTTTACAGAGACTAGAAATATGACTGTCTATAGTATGCAGTACTAGTGAATCAGTGTTTTCGTCGTGTCCGACCTGCAGGTTCGTCCGAACCTCGTCGGAGGACAGCGACAGGAACCTGACGGCGTTTCAACACGGCAAGAACATCTACTTCAGAGTCTGCCGGCGGCTGGAGGCCGGAGAGAAGCTGAGGGTTTGGTACAGCGACGAGTACATCCAACGGCTTCACTGCGTTTCTCAGGAGAGCATCGACCGAAACCTGGACACAGGTGAGCCGGGCGGTGGGCGGTCGGTTAGACGAGTAGGAGGTGTGATCGGAAAAGTTCAGAGACGGTCGCGTGTTAGAGGAGACCTTCTGCCTCTTCTTCAGAATGAAACTCAACTTAATAAATCACCATTTTGACACAGTTTATGGCAGGGGTAGGCAGTCCTGGTCCTGGAGGGCCACAGTCCTGCATGTTTGAGATGATTCCAATGATGAGCTCATCATCAAGCTCTGCAGAAGCCTGATAACGATCTTGATCATTTGAATCAGGTGTGTTGGAAGAGGGAAGCATCTAAGACATGCAGGACTGTGGCCCTCCAGGACCAGGACTGCCCACCCCTGGTTCAGGACATTCTGTGCTCATCAGATGGTGACGTGTCCAGAACAGCGTGGTCAGTGTTGCAGGAGCGCTGGGAGCTGTGTGGCTGCACAAGGAGGAATTTAGGTCAAATTTATTTCTGTTTATGATTTTTCTTTGACCTTTTTAATCACACGTCGTACATCTACACACGAAGCAGATCCAGGAGGATGTTGTGACACTTTCAGGTGTCGCCAAACAAACAACCACAAATGGAACCACGTGACAGAAGACGACTCAAATACACTTTTAGAGGAAGCAGGAAGCCGACGTGCGTTTAGTTTTCGTCACAAAATGTTTCAGTCTTACGTTTTTTCTCTTCTCAGCGTTCTTTGGCTGCAGCTGTCTCCATCTTTGTGTACAGTCGCCATGGTTACCGGAGTTATTCTGGTCTGTGGCTCAGTGTCCACGTCCCTGTGCTCTGCAGAGATACAGCAGACAGGCTGTCCTCAGTAAATCCACACATGCAGCGCTGCAGCTGCTGCTTAAGAGGCAGCAGCGTTATTCTTTATATTTAGAAAGAAAGAAAGTTTATTTATACCGAACCTCGTCACACACAGAGAGGATTCAAGGTGAAGCGCTTTACCGGCAGGACATTAACACAAAGAATAAAGACAAGATAAAATACAAAATGCAGATAAAAGCCTTAAAGTTTCACTGTTATTGTCTCATCATCCATCGAAAAATATAAAATATGCCCATAAAAGAGGTGGATCAGGCTGTCTGGTCATATTTATGTGTTTGTGGTACAACTTGTCATACCTGCTCAGTTATCAATAACATTTTTTGAGCAAATATTTCATTTTAAAACGCATTTCATAGAGCTTGTTTTGTATTATTAGTACAAGCAGCTACATGTGGTCCAGAAAATATCACTAGTTAACTTCTGCATCATCAATTTTTATTTATTTTTTGTTAATGTGACCTCAAATATGGGATTTTTTTTTTCACTTTTCAGCTCACCCATACTCAGAAATTATTTTATCTACTTATCCAATATAACAGATTCTGGATCAATGACATGATGAGAGAAAAGATTTCAGTCTTTTATCTTTTATAGTTCCTGAGATATTGTCCTTTAAACAGCCTCACGTTTCAATGAGTGGGAAAAAAAACGTGCTGAAAGTGGGTCAACGGGCAATTTAGGAAAATAATTATCTCTGAAAATATTTGAGACATCAAGCTAAAACTTCACAAATATCTTTATAAATATACAAACGTTGTGCTGATTTCAGGCGACTCAAAGATGATCGAGCAGAAGTTATTGAAAAATGTGATGCTTTCATATCTAAAGTGTCCATAAGCCCTGTTCTCCAGCAGGTGGCGCTGCTTCACCATCTTTTATCTCCTGTGTGTTTCAGTCTCCAATAGTTTCATTTCAATTAGATTTGTTTTATTAGCAGCTTTTCAGTCACCTGTAGAGGCCTGTTGACCTGCTCTACGCTGAAATCTGTTACATAAATAGTATATGATTGGTTGATTGATTGGTTGATTGATTGGTTGATTGATTGAGAAACAACCTCCTTGACAATTTGTCCTCTTCGAATTGCAGCTTTAAATAACTAATCAAATGGTTTTGTTTCAGATCCTGGACATCCAGCAGCGCTGCACAAACTTCAGAAGGACTTCAAGTCTCCGTGCCTGCAGTCGGCTCTGCAGGGCAAACTGTGCTCCGGTAAACAGCCCGGCGAGGAGTCGGACGGCCAGCCTCCTGCCAAGAGGAAGAAGATCGACCTCATCTTCAAAGACGTCCTGGAAGCTTCTCTGGAGGACTCCCGGTCCCGGTCCTGCCTCCCTGGTGACTGTAAGCTGCTCGGCTTCAACTCGTCCGAGAGCGGCTTCAGCGTTCCCGACCTGAAGTTGGAGGAGAAGGAGGAGGAGAAGCAGAGCGGTGGGGAACCTTCCACCTCCTTCTGCCCCAACTGTGTCAAGCTGAAGAGGAGGATCGTGGAGCTGGAGGAGGAGCTGTCCCGCCTCAGAGCAGGACAGGGCGACGGAACCGGCCCACCTGAGAAGATCCAACTGGATCAGGGTCCGCCGCACCCTGAGCAAGGGCCCATCGAGGACTTCCAAGGTGAGGCAGCACTGACGGAGGGCAGCAAGTCTTCTTTCACTTCTTCTTTTCTTAAGCACCACTGTTTTTTTCTTCAGTGTTTCTGCTGAAGATCTTAACTTGTACATTTCTTTTAACTCAGCAGGATAAAATATGTCTAACTTTCCCTTTTACTCTCTGAAGTGTTCAACAATTCTCCAAAGGTGTTACCAATGCTTAAAAATAAAGGCAATTCTACAGATCATAGATATTTAATTACTTATATACTATCCTGTATATACTTGTGCAACAGAAGGCGTGATCGGTCACCGTACAGTAAAAGGAAATGAGTCCGTATTACCTCATTTGACAGAAATCTGCATTTTCCTTTTATTTCTGACTATTAAATTCTCTTCTGACATCTTCACCAAACATTCACATACGAACTAAACACAGTTCCTTACGCTGCATGATATGAAAACATGTGATTACACTGTCTGGTAGAAGTTGACAGAGTTTGTCTTTGCAGGGATGGAGCCCTTGACGCCCACTCAGGTGGTTCTGGATGAAGACGACCAGGACGTGGACTCGGCTGACGAGTCCATCGCAGCGGATCTTGTGATTTCTCCGGAGGACTCGTCGAAGCTTTCGTCCGGAGGAAGCAGACGGATTCGCCGCTTCAAGCAGGAGTGGCTGAAAAAGTTCTGGTTCCTCCGTTACTCGCCGACCCTGAATGAGATGTGGTGCCACGTCTGCCGTCAGTACACCGTCCAGTCGTCCCGCACGTCGGCCTTCATCATCGGCTCCAAGCAGTTCAAGATCCACACCATCAAGCTGCACAGCCAGAGCAACCTCCACAAGAAGTGTCTGCAGCTGTACAAGCTGCGCATGCATCCGGAGAAGACCGAGGAAATGTGCAAGAACATGATGCTTCTGTTTAACGCGGCGTATCACCTGGCTCTGGAGGGGCGGCCCTTCTCCGACCTCCGTCCACTGGCAGAGCTGCTGAAGAAGTGCGAACTCAAAGTGGTTGATCAGTACATGAACGAAGGCGACTGTCAGATCCTCATCCACCACATCGGCCGAGCTTTGAAGGAGGATCTGGCTGAGAAGATGCGTCTGTCACCTTTCCTGAGCGTCATCATGGATGCTCAAAACGACGACCTCTTCTCCGACATGGTGGCCGTCTACGTCCAGTTCATGACCAACGAGGGCTCCCCCAACACAGAGTTCCTGTCCCTGCAGAGACTGAGCACGGCCAGCGTGGACGGATACCTCCAGGCGATGGATCGTGCCTTTGGTGTCCTCGGCCTTCGGTTTCAGGACATGTTGGTGGTGGGTTTGGGTGTGGACGGCACCAACATCTCTTCAGGAATGAGAGCGAACCTGTACATTGCTGTCCAGAAGACTTCTCCCTGGATCCTCTGCCTTCCCATCATGATCCATCGGCCTCATTTGGAGGTTCTGGACGCCATCAGTGGGAAGGAGCTCTCCTGCCTGGAGGACCTGGAAAACAACCTGAAGCAGCTGCTCAGCTTCTACCGCTACTCCCCTCGCATGATGTCCGAGCTGCGATCCACAGCGCCGACGCTGTCTGAGGAGACGGAATTCCTGGGAGACATCAGAGCCATTCGCTGGATCATTGGAGAGCCAAACGTCCTCAACGCCCTCATCAAGGACTACCTGGAGGTGGTCGCACACCTGAAGGAGATCAGCAGCCAAACACAGAGGGCCGACGCTTCAGCCATCGCTCTAACCCTCCTCCAGTTCCTCATGGACTACCAATCAGTCAAACTCATCTACTTTCTGCTGGACATCATTGCTGTCCTCTCACGGTTGGCCTTCACCTTCCAGGGAGAGTATCTTCTGGTGTCGCAGGTGGAAGCCAAGATAGAGGAGGCCATTCAGGAGATCGGCCAGCTGGTGGACTGCCCCGGAGAATACCTGCAGGAGTTTGAGGAGAACTTCAGAGAGAGTTTCAATGGCGTTGCTTTAAAGAACCTGCGAGTCGCAGAGTCCAAGTTTCAGTCCATCCGAGAGAAGATATGCAACAGGAGTCAAGGCATCCTGTCTCAGAGGTTGGACCTGCAGAGCTGCTCATTCGCCAAAGCCTGCAGGGTGCTGGATCTGTCTACATGGCCGCACAGCCATGAGGACCTGCAGGTCTACGGGGACGAGGAGATCCAGACCATCTTTAACCACCTGGAGTCGATTCCCTCCGCAGGTCAGGAGGCCCGGACGGAGGCCAGAGGCAGCCTGGTTGTGGAGTGGAAGGACCTGAAAGCAGACTACTACAGTATGAACGGCTTCAAAGAGGTCATTGGTCACATCTGCAGGTACAAGCAGCGGTTCCCCCTGCTGAACCGGATCGTGCAGGTGGTCCGGGTGCTTCCCAGCTCCACGGCCTGCTGTGATAAAGGCAGAGGGTCTCTGCAGAAGATGTGCAAGAACAACCGCTCCCGGCTGACCCTGGAGCAGATGAACGACCTGCTGACGGTGGCCGTTAATGGGCCGCCCATCACTAACTTCGACGGGAAGCGAGCGCTGGACAGCTGGTTCGAGGAGAAGTCCGGCAGCAGCTACTCGCTCTCGGCTGAAGTGCTGAACCGGATGTCGGATCAGAAGTCGGTCCTGCACAGCGTCGACGTCAACACAGAGTTCTACCCTGATATCTAACAACCCACTGGTGTACTGGTACCACAGACTGGTGTCCAGCCAACCAGAGAGATTCAGTTAATCTGAAAAATGTGTTGGTCTAAAGATCAGAAGGGGAAGATGGGTTGCCTTACCAGTTTTCCACCAACTGTAGTGAGCTGTGAGTTGATGAAGACTACAGGAAGACAAAAAGTCAACAAAAGACTTGTTTTAAATGGTGGAACGTCCAGAAATGCAAACTTCACCAAAGCTACTAAAGAAGCCTGAACATAAACAATCCCCGTATGTCCCCTGTTGAGTCCTGGTGTCTCTACAGTGGAACAAGTCTATCAAAGGGGCAACATAAAGGGGTATTTTTGAGCAATAGGCCTGTCGGGGCACCATTATTTTGCTGTATACTACTGGGCAAACGTCTTTCTGAGACCGAGGCCCAAAGTGTCAGGGAGTCTCCCCAGACTTTACCTTTAACACAACACCTTAATGACTGAAAATGAGCATCAAAGACAAAACAATGACAAGGAAAAGCAGAACGACGACAAAGAGTCGCAAAATGGTCTCAAAGAGACAAAAAACTAAAACAAAGAGATGCAAAACGACAAAGGAAAGGATAATAATTACTAGTGGGCACAAAATTACTACGAGGGAGACACAACATGGCCTTAAAGAGACACAAAGTGACAAATAAAGCAAAATAACAATGAAGGGACGGATAGACAAACACAAAGAGATGAAAATCAACAACAAAGAGACACAAAATGGCCACAAATAAAAGCAAAACAACGACAAAATGACACAAAATAGACTTAAAGAGGACCCACAAAGACATAAAACACACCACAATGAGACACAAAACAGTGACAAAGAGATTTAAAACGGCCACAAAGAGATTCAAAAACAAAAACAACCACAAAGTGATGCAAAATGACCACAAAGAAACACTAAACAAGGAAAAACACACAATGACCACATGGCGAGGCAAAAAAAACGCAAAGAAACATCAAACAAGGACAGAGACACAAAACAGCTACAAAGGGGAAAAAATTTAGACAAAAAGATGAAAAACGACCTCAAAGACACACAAAATGACCACAAAGACACATAAACAATAAGAGGGAGACATAAAGCGACCAAACTACAAAGAGATGGAAAACACAAAGACACAAAGACATTCAAAATGACCACAAAAACCACAAAACAATTACGAAGAGACGCAAAACAATAACATAGCCATGGAAAGCGACCACAAAGAAAAATGAAACAAAGACAAAAACATACAACAACTACAAAGAGACACAAAACTATGACAAGGAGATGAAAAATGGCCACAAAGAGATTCAAAACAACAACAAAGAGACACAAAATGACCACAAAGAGACATAAAACAAGGACAAAAGATGCAAAACAACAACAAAGAGACACAAAACCACAA